TGGCAGGCTTCTTGCTAACTGTTCTTATAGCTTAAATTAATCCATTTCCACAAATCTATACGCTGCCATGTGGCTCGTGGTTTACCAGGCATTTTCACATGCTGCTTATCCTGGCGGGTGGCTGGCAGTGACTCCTTCTGCCTTCCTGTTCTTTTATTTCTCCTCTCTGTTAGTCCCGCCTATACTTCCTGCCTAGCGACGGCCAATCAGGTTTTATTTATTGACCAATCTGAGCAACACATTGCCACACAGACCATCCCCCGGCACAGCCAAGTGCAGACATCTCAGACACCTGCACTCAGGCCCGTGATCATAATCATCCTCTATGCGGACCTGCTGGGTAAAGCCACAAGGAACCCAAGAACGTGCTCCCACGGGACATACAGAACATCCCACAGCAAAGAACCATATTATATTTTAACTAGATATCTAGGGTTCTCAGGATGGAACAGTGATAACCTATTAGAAGGCAATAGCTAACAGGATATATACTAGAAAAAGAAAAAGAGATAATAGTATAGGTTTTAATAATAAGTGCTTAGGATTCATTTTTTATATTATTTTAAATGATGTGTACACACGTCTATCTATGTGAGTATATACTACATATATGCAGAAGCCCATTGTGGCCAGAACAATGTGTTGGAGCCCTGGGAGTTGGAGTTACAGGAGGTTGTGAGATGCCTGGTATGGATGCTAGGAACTAAATTCATGTCCATTGGAACAGCAGAACGTTCTTAAACACTAGGTCCCATGATGCTTACTTTGGTTTTTTGTTTTGTTTTGTTTGATTTTGTCAACATGACACAGATAGTGTTATCCAAGAAGAGGAACCTCAATTGAGAAAACGCCTCCATCAGATTGGCTTGTAGACAAGTCTGTGGGCCATTTTGTTGATTAATGTTTGATGTGTGAGGCCCCATCCCACCGTGGGTAGTTCCATCCCTGTGCAGGTGGAACTGAGTTGTATTAAGAAAGCAAGCTGAATGTGCCATGGAAAAACCAGTAAGCAGCATTTCACCACGCTCTCTGTTTCAGTTCCTAGCATCAGGTTCCTGCCTTGGATTCTCCAGATGATGAACTGTGACTCAGAAGCCAAATAAACCCTTTTCCTCCTCAAGTTGGTTTTGCTCATGGTATTTTGATATAACAGTAGAAGTTAAACTAAACACCATCTCTCTAGACCTCAGAGATTTGCTTTTTTAATTAAATATTTTATTCATTTTACATACCAATCATAGATACCCTGCTTCCTTCCTCCCACCCCTCCAGCCTCGCCCAACCCATCCCCCCATTCCCTCCTGCAAGAAGGCAAGGCCTCTTAAATTGTTTTTGTACTACAAAGGAAGGGTGAAATCTAAATTATGAAAGAGACAATTTACAGCAATTATGAAATATAACTGCACTATTAGACATGTTTAAGAGATAAAAATCCATCAGTTTCATCAGTGTCAAATGGAAGGTAGGTAGGTGCAATAAATATATGCACATATTTAATATGTATTTTCAGAAGACAAAATGAAATAGTACTGATAGGAAAACATAATGCAAAATAAACATTTTACAGAACTAAGATATGATTTCTCTGTTTTTGAAGGGTAGAAGATCAGGTTTAGGGATAATACTTTGTTGTCTATCATAATAGTAGATGAAAATGAAATCTTAAAAGGGTAAATAAGCTTTCTCACTAACA